ATCAATAAGGGAAGCTGCAAGGGAACTCCAGTCCCTGTGGTCAGCCGTGCGCGGAGAAGAAACATTCAATGAGCACTCGCCAGGCTACCCACTAAGAGCCAGCTGTATCCCAGCACCATCCCGGGAGGAGGCGTTGGCTAGCCTCCTTTCCAGAAGAGGAACTCCTAACGCCTAGCGTTTACGAAGCCTACACTCTATCCTAGGCGCCGCTGCACCCACCGTCCACAGAACCCTGTAGCTGCCCTCCCGCGTGGCTGCGGAGATCTTATTGACACGTGTCCACTCTGGTGCTCAGCTCCGACACCCATTGCCACGGGCTCGCTTCTTTCTGGGGCCCTCGGCCCCTGGAGCAGGGGGCAGGGAGCGGAAGGAGGCCAGTGTCCCTCATGCAGCCATGTGGGCGGCTGCCCACCACGGGTTTGGGAGCCGGCATGCCCCCCTCCCTCCTGACTGCTGGATTTCCCTCCACCCACTCAGGATACCCGCTGTAAATTTAGAGGTCCCAGCCCTTACATCTGGTGGGTACGAGAGGTATGAAGTAAAGCCCCCAAACCAAACCCACTGCCATCGGGTGGACGACCACGCAGAGCTACCCCACAGAGGGTGTCCAAGGCTGGGCACCTTCACGGGAGCAGACAGCCTCCGAGCTCTCCATGGAGCAGCTGGTGGGTCTGAACCGCCGACCTTGTAGTTAGCAGACCAACGCTTACCTGGCAGTGCCAATTGGCGGAGGCGGCGGCATGCAGCAGGAATACCCTGTTTTGGGGGATGGGGCTCTGCCCTGGTCGGGGAGGAGAGGGGAGACGTCCAGGGACCTGAGCTGATTGAGCTCAGATGGGAAACAGGAGTAGGTCTTAGCGCGGTGAAGGGGCAGAAAGAGCACTGTAGTCTGAGGAAATCGCAGGTACATAGGCCTTGTGCAGGGAGGGAAGAGGGGGTGCCACGTGCAAGGGGTGTGGCTGCGAGGCTGGTGAGGGCGGGGGAGTTTGAGAAGCGGCTGAGGCCCGAGTTGCCAGGGTCTCACAGGACACAGCAAGGGGTCTGGAAGATGGAGAGTGAGAGGTGATGTCACCAGATACACATATGGCAAAGACGAGCTGGGCAAAGGGGCAGCATGGAGACCACGTGAGGGGTGAGCTCAAAAACATTACCAAGCTCTCAGCCGCCAAGTCACTGTTGACGCACAGTGACCCCTGTGGCTTTCCAAGGCTGTAATGTTGACAGGAGTAGAAAGTCCAGTCTTCCTCTGCAGAGCTGCTGGTGGCTTTGAACTGTTGACCATGCGGATCGCAGCCCAACTTGTAACCACCGCACCAGCAGGGGACCTGGTGGAGCCTAAAGATTCCGGGAGGTTGGAGCCTGGGAAGCAGCGGGAGTGGGGCAGCTCCGAGAAGCCAGTAGGGAGTAAACTGTCAGGACTTGAGATGGATTGGGGGGGGGGTGCAGGTAGGGGGAGATTTATGGTGGACTCCAGGTCCAGTGTCCAGTCCCAGGTTCACCCTTGAACCTGTAGCCCTAGCACCAGGGCCCCTGGGTTGGGGAAGGGGCCTCTTCCTCCTCACCTCTAGTCTCTTCTCGGTTCTTCTTCCAGGAGATTGTGACTGCCCTGAGCTGTGGCAAGAACATTGTGCCCATCATCGATGGCTTTGAGTGGCCGGAGCCCCGGGCTCTCCCCGAGGACATGCAGGCCGTGCTCACCTTCAATGGCATCAAGTGAGGCCCAGGGTCCAGGGCTGAGGGGGGCAGGTGCACGTGGTCCCCAGCCGAGCCCCTGACCCCCTCGGCCTCTGTGTCCCCAGATGGTCGCATGAGTACCAGGAGGCCACCATCGAGAAGATCATCCGCTTCCTGCAGGGTCGCTCCTCCAGGGACTCGTCTGCGGGATCCGACACCAGTTTGGAGGGTGCTGTGCTCATGGGTTCAACATAACGGCTCCCACTCCCCAAGCCCTGCTGCGCCCCCCACTCCCACCATCCTCCCTGGGCAGAGACAGTCCTGCCTCTTCTCGGGAGATGGCTCCCCTCTCTTCACCCTGCTGTGAGGGGTGGGAAGCAGGCCCTCGGCCTCTCTGTTGGGGTACTTGTCAGGGCTCAATTCTGGGCAAGGGCTTGGCTGGACACACCCACTCCCCTGCCTTGATAGCAAACAGCTGGAGTGAGGGATGGAGGCAGCCACGGGCAGCAGTCAGGGGCAGCCCCTGCTGTGTTAGAGCACCTTTGCTGTGAGCCACCTGGGAGGAGTACAGCGGTGGTCCTGGCTTACCACTTCCTGCCCCCCTGATGGGCCTTGCCCTGTAGCCACTCAGTGCCCTTAGCCAGCTGGCCTGGTCTTGGATGCCTCGTCCATGCCTCCTTTGCCATGCCTGGGCCAGCTGTGCTCTCACTCTGGCTGATCAGGGCTTCTGGCCGCTCTGCTGTACTTACCCAATGCCCCCTGCTTGGGGCCTGGGCAGGGGAGGCTGTGTCTTGAGGGCAGCAAGCCCCCACCGATCCCACTATGCCTCATTTGCCTCCCCACTCCACCTGGGTGAAGGCAGTTCTCTCACCTGACTGTGTAGCCAGCCACCTGGGCCCTTAGCTCCAGATTCTACTGAGATCTCCATCCCGCACAAACCCTCCGGGGAGCTGCAGCCACCTTCAGGGATCCCACACTTTGAGTAGCCGGGCCCCAGAACACACCAGTCTTTGCCATTGCCTAGCCCCTGACTCCCCCCACCCCCACCCAACTCCTTGGCCTCTGTAACCATCACCAGCCACCCTGCCTGTTACTAGCCTTTCCATGTTACAGGTGAGGAAACGGAGGCTGAGAAAGGCCGAGGGGTCTGCCCAGCCCACTGCCTGATGGAGCTGCCCAGGGAGGGCTGCCCAGAGGCTGTGTCTGGGCAGGTGGCTGCTCCGTGGCCCCCAAAAGGTCTGGCAGGCAGGTTCTAGGAGCCGAAGGCGCCCATGGAGGTACGGGACAGTCCCTCTCTTGGGGCAGGAGGCAGGCGGTACCCTACCTCCACCAATCCAGGCTTCTACCAGTGGGGTCTGCTGGAATCTGCCCTGCCCCCTCCCTCCTAAGGGCAGTGGGTTCACACCTCAAGGCTGGTCTGGCGCCCATCAGCCCAACTAGCCAGGTCACTCCCAGCTCTCTAGCCTCCTCGTTTGAGTCAAAGGTCTCCTGCCTGGCCTGGGACACCTCTGTCCACTCCCCTCCCTGTGTGGAGTCCAGGCCCCAGTCTTCGGCTCTGCCTGCCCTCCTCCCTTCTTTCAGGAGACCAGAGCAGGGCAAGGCCCTGGACCGACCAGACAATAATAATGGTGACGAGTGTCTTCCAGCGAAGCTGTTTGTCATTTTGTTTCCCACCAGCCCTGCTCCCTTGAGACCACCCTAGAAGGGATTCCGAAAGGACACACCCTCCCCTGCTGCCCACCACCACTGGCCCGGCCCTCTGACCCCCACTATCTCTGGTGAGTCAGAGCCTAGACTCCGGCCGGCCGCATCAGAGCAGTGGAGGGGAGGGCTCTCCTCTCCTTTCCCTGCCAGGCGAGTGTGCTCAGGGCTGACTGTCACACCATGACGGACCCTGCAGTCCACAGCTGGGGCAAGGAACTTGGCCTTCACTTTGGGCCAGGCCTGGCCCTTGATGGCTGGTCTGACAGCAGGCTGAGACGTCACCTTCCCCACAAAGCCTGCTCTGCCCCAGGCCTGCAGTTCAGGGCTATAGCTGCTGCCCCCAGGTTGGGGCTGGGCCACTATGTCCTCATCCCACCTCCGGGAACTTCCCAAGGACACCTAAAGGCCATTATGGCCCCTGAGCCCAAAGTCCAGCCAACAATTTATTCACCTCCTCTAGACTCATCCAGGACAATGGAGGAGGGGCATCTTTCTGAAGGGTCTGAACTGGGAGCGATCTCAGAACATCACCCTAAACATGTGCTGCCTCTTCAGTCAAAGGAGTTGATCACTCCTTCACAGAGGTACCAGCTCAAGGCCACACCACTAGCTCTCAGCAGCGCCCAGCGTAGGACCCAGGCCAGCTCTGCCTTTTCCCTTCTCTCCTGGCTGCCCTCTTGCGGTGGGTCAGTGCAGGTCCTTCTCCTAGCCTGGGTCTCCCCAGGGCAGCAGGAACAGCGAGTGGAGCCCAGGCCACCCTCTTTCCCTACGTAACGTCCACCCAGAAGCCGGGCGTTGGGGAAGTGACAGGAGAAGAAGGCTGAAATGGCAGCAGGGGAGCAAGGCCGGCCCTGTGGGCAGCTTTGGGTGGAAGAGTCAAGTGCCACCTTGACTCGAATCTGTGCCAGCGTCTCAAGTGTTCATCTGATTCTGCCTTTCCACGTCAGATCCAGACCTGGATCCACACTCCCCAGACCTGAGCCCCTTCTCTATTTCCGGAGTCAAAGGGAGAATCAGCTCATCGCTCAGCTTCCTGGTGACCTTCGGGAGAAGCATGGGGGTTTCTCTCAAAGCACGGCTCTGCTGAAAGCCCACTGATAACTGCTGTGGAACAGGAGAAGAGGCTTTCTGCTCCTGTCAAGAGTTTGTCTTGGAAACCCCAGGGGCAGTTCTGCCCTGTCCGGTAGGGACGCTCTGAACAAGAGTTGGGTGCATGGTGTGGTGGTAAGGTAACAGGCGTTGAGGGCTACGGGGCATTAGGACCGTTGCTCCGTGCCTGCCGGCAAGTCCGGTGCAGGTGGCTTCACATGGACTAAGGAGCCAGGACTGCCCCAGTTTCTCTGCTAGCCTCCGGCAGGCCCGGCAGCCCATCTCCCAGCAGCAGATGAGGCCTGGGCTGGCCACTCCCAGCACCGAGCCTGTGGGCAGCTCAAGGCTTCCTGTCCCTCCCACCATGCTCTTCTGACCTGTGGCTGGCAGACCAGGAACAGGAAAACAGGAGGCCCCGAGGTGTTTCATACAGATTTATTATTATGTTTGGCACGGTGAGATTCGGTTACAGGCAGGCCACAGCCCAGGCCTAGCTCCCCACGGACACTAGGCCCCCCCTCCCCAAAAGCACCATGCTCGTCACTAGAGTGGTGGCTGGTGTCACATCATCACCTGAGCCCCGTAGCCTTCCCTGTTTGGGCTGAAGTGGAGAGCCAGCCCTCCTGTACCAGCAGGCCCCTCAAGGGTACCCCCACCCACCCACCACCCATCCCCCGTGGTGGCAGGTGCTGATGGGCCTGTGAGGTCTGATGACATTCCGGAGTTGTTGGCACCCTGTGGCTGAGGTAGTTTGGTCCAACTTTGCAGAAACTGCTGGGGCTGCTGTGGGCTGGGACCCCTGAAGGGTCTTTCCAGGAGGTGACTGCTCCATTCGTGTCCCCTGACCTCTGGCCCAAACAGGTCAGGAGCTCCTGGGAAACTGCTGGAATTCACTATGAGGATTCACCTTCTCCAGCACCCTGTGAGGGATCAGAGAGAAGGATCAGCCTTGTCCTGGGAGACCCCCAGCTCTTGTCTGGAGAAGCGACACCACCCCGCTCCTGCAGTGGGCTGGCCTCCCCCTTCTCCTCTCCCCCGGCTGGAAGGTGGGGGACAGTGACCCAGAAGACTGAGGGCTCTGGACAATGGCTCCTGAGGCTCAAGGGGAGGGAGTCGGGGACCCTGGCTGGCCTGTGGCCCAGCCACCAGCAGCAGAAGCCAAGGACGCTCTCCAGGTGTCCTTCGGCCCATTTCTGTCACTGCCGTTCCAGCTCAGAAACGGGAAAGGAGGGGCACGATGGGAGCTCGGGCGAAGGCACAGCCTTGCTGAGAAGCGGTGCTGGCTTCCAGCCCTGCTCGCCTCGAAGGAGAGGAGAGGCAGCCGTGTGCAAGCGGGGAACAGCCTGGGATTGAGCCAGGGATCCAGGCGCCCGGTGAGCTGGCATTACCCAATCAGAATGGCCGGGATGAAGAGGAGGCCGGCGCCCAGGAGGAAGGGGAAGCCCTTCATGAAGTTCAGCGTGACTGGGTAGAGGGAATTGAAGATGCTGGAAGCTGTCAGCATGGCCAAGCTATTGATGCAGGCCACCGCGGAGAAAAGTGCACCTGCGAGGAAACCAGACAGCCTGGCGTCACCACCTGACCACTGGGCAACCTAGGGCGAGTCCCTCGGCCTCTCACGCTTCATCTAAAGCACTTGCTCCACCGTGGTGGCTGTCGGGTGCCGGAGAACTGATGCCAACTTCCGAAAGCCCACCGGGTGCAGAGCACAGCTGCTCCCCAGGGTGTCTAAGGCCTCGACCTTCGCACCCGTCTTTCCAGGTGGGTGCAAACCACCCACCTTTCAGTTAGAACTCCAGCACTTAACCACCCGCACTACCCAGGGAGGGCTGAGCCTGTTGGACCGGGGCACCGAATCAAACCACGGCTGCCAAGGCCACGCTGAAAGTACATGTGCCCCTCTTGGCTTCTCCTCTTTGGAATGGTTTCCTGCTGGGGATGAGGTGCCGGTGTCATTCCTGGTTCTGGCACGTCGTAGCTGTGTGGTCCTGAAGAAGTCACCGAGGGTCCCTCAGCCTCCACCTCCCCTCTGTTAAGCAGAGGTGACTTCGACTTCATGAGCTGTCAGCGGTGTTGCAGTCACGCTTCAAGTACCTGCCACCAAGCCTGGCCCCGACAGGCAGCCCGGGAGTGGGCTGCACTTTGCTCCTGCTCCCCTTGGCAGCTCTGGGCACAGTGAGGGAGAGGGAATGCTTACTGAGGGCACAACCGGCCCCATGGTGGGCTGGGCATGGCATGAGGGTCTCTCCTCATCGGATCCTTCCTCCGGGGCGGCAGGGAAGAAGGGCGTGAACTGACGTGTCAGATCCAGGCCTGAGAAGCGTGTGTCTAGACATGCCACCACCAATCGGAATGGCAGCAACCCCCCCCCCCAGGAGCTGCTATAAAATGCCAATGACCTCACACCACTCATTCCACAGATGAGGAAACTGAGCCCCAGAGAGGGCAAGGGGCCTGCCCAAGATCCCACACCACAGGTCCTGGACTTAAACACGCACCCCAAGATGCTCTGCTCTCACAAGCAGCAGGCGTGGGTTTCTGCCCTCACTTTCACGTTTGGGCCTCTGCTTCTTCATTCGTCCATCAGGGACAATACCCCCTACTTTCCCAGGGGGTTCCCATCCTCCGAGCTTGCACACCCTGACCCAGTGAAGGAGGGACCCCAAGGGTCACCCATTCAGAGGCTGGGAGCAGGGAAATGTGTTGCCCTGGTTACCATCAAGCCGCATCAGCAGGTACTGCTGGTTACAAACCCCAGGTGTGTGGGCTGCTAAGTTAAGGACCCACGGTCCTCGCCCAGCCCCAGCCCATCTAACAGGGTGCGCCCGTCTCCTACCCGCTTCTCCAGGGTGGGAAGGAGAAGAGTCAGGGGCTCCTCGACACTCACCCTGCTCCGACTTGCTCACCAGCTTGGAGAGCTTGGCCCGGACAACAGGTGTGGTGATTAACGACAGGAAGAGAAACCCATACCCTGTGGAGAAAGCAAGTTATCAGGACCACAGGGCTGAGGAAGGGGGCTGCTCGGGGTGGGACAGCTCCCCGCTATGGAAATTCGGCTAGACACAGGACCCCCCAGGATGGTGAGGGTGGGTGGATGGTGACCAAGCAGGAACCAGGATGACCCTGGTGAAGGCTTGGCCCACCCACCATGTCTTTTTCAGGACTGAACACCCTTCCCCAATCGCTTTCTCGTTGCAAGCCTTCTCAGCGCATGTGCACCACCCCCTCTACTTAGTACTTGGTAGGGAGAAGGCAGGGCATAGCAAACAGGAACAGGCTCTGGAGTCGCCCAGAATTCCAGTCCCGAGGCTACACTGACAACTGTGTGTCCCTGGGTGCTTAACCTCATGGCCCCCACTCATGATGTGTCCAAGGAGGACACGCGGGTCTTCAACTCGGGAGGGCTCTAAAGCGAGGGAGGGTGAAAGTTAGCCAAAGGCGTCAGGTCCTAATCCCTGAGACATGCAAAGGAGACCTTTTGTGCAAAAGGGGTCTTTGCAGATGTTAAGGGTCTTGAGATGGGGACATTATCCTGTGATCTAGAGAGGAAATCACATGTATCCCTGTAAGAGGGAAGTGGAGAAAGCCGGGACCAAGAAGACGCCCAGCAGAGGCGGCACCAGGCTCACTGAGACAGAACTGCAGTGATGCAACCATAAGCCAAGGAGTGCTGGCAGCCACCAGAAGGGGGAAGAGGCAAGGCACAGATCCCCCAGGGCTTCGGGAGACACGGGGCCCGCTGCCACCTTGATTTCAGTCCTGCGGGAGTGAGTTCAGATTTCTGACCTGTGTTGTTTTAAACCACCAGGTGTGTGGTCATTTGTTCCAATAGCCACAAGAAATCCATCTTGGTGGCGAGGAGGATCCCAGTTCAGCAAGCGCAGTAGATGCAGGCACCTTCTCCCTTCACCTTCCCTCGAGGGCCTACGGGGCTTTCTCTATAACCATTCTCTCAGCAAAAATGTGCATCCCCAGAGGACTGGGTCCGTACAGGCAACACAGTGGGTCTATATAAACTGTGATGCCCCAAGCCCCCTTCAGGTGCCAAGCCACTCAAAGGGCACTCAAATGGCCCGAGAGCAACACCTGTGTTTGCAGCACCACAGCAGCCCCCAGGACACTGAGCCCTGCACCTGGCACCTGGGCAATCCTGTGGGCACGAATCAAAGGCAGCGGCCCCTTTCTGCTTCACCGTCCGGGCGAGTTAAAGACGCCGATTAAAGAATCTGCCGTGATGTGTGAAACACAACCCATGTGAAAGCTCTGGCAAAATCAATCTGTCTCTTTAAAACATTTAACTTCCTCAGGCCCAGGCCCGGACCAGGCTGCAGAATCTGCAGTGGCCTCCTCCCCCGACCTCCAAAAGAAGAAAAGGGAAAAAACAAGAAGTAAAGCAAGCCCAGAAGTCTTATGTGTGCTCTGAGGAAGCTGGCGTCTTTAAAAATCTCCAAAAGCTGACCAAGACTAGCTGAGGTCTTATCACGGAAGCGAATACCGGGCCACAAACAGCGTGGACTTTGTTTATGAGCAACAGGGGTGGGTGAAGGAGGTCAGGGGTGAAGCAATTAAGGGCATGGGCCATGCTCCTGTATCTTTTAGGCTATATCACTGTCAACACGTATGATGGATGACGTGGAGTAATTACTTTGGCTACTGAAGGTCTGATTTCCAGCCTATCGAAGATGGCACTGTCTCCCCCACCCCCTATGGTCTTAGTGGTCTGCCCTCCAGAGCAAGCTGCAGGGCAAGACGCTGCTTCTCGGGGACGCACGCCCTATCTGGAGGCCAGGACAAGGTGGCCCTGAGCCCACACGCTTTACCTGTGAACATGAGGGCTGTGACGGTAGCGAATGCAAAGACCACCATGCCCAGGATGTTGAGGGCCAGGCCGACTTCGGCCACCCAAGCATCAGCCAGACAGCGCTGGAGGAGCCGCAGGCCCAGCAGGCTGGTGAGGTATTGGAGGTGGTAAGTTGCTGAACCGTAGCCAATGAGCTTGGAGTCCCAGCAGAGGGGTGCACTCAGCTCATAGATGGTCATGATGTCCTGGGCCCCAAAGTGCACAGTGACGACTATGAAGATGGCCAAGGAGTACAGGGCCAGGTGTTTCCTGGACTTCTCCGGGGACGCGGACACATAGAGCCGGAAGATGGAGCGGTGGTGACGCAGTGTGAAGAGCCGCGTCTGGGTTGGCTCCTTCACCGTCTCCCCAAAGCAGAAGGCTGCGTACAGAGTCATGACTATCAGCAAGGCCAAGGCCAGCCAGAAGGGGTTGGCATAGCCCTGGGCCCGCAGCCAGTAGCCCCCAAGAAGGCTCGCCAGCATCCCTGCCACCCCGATGCACGCCTCCAGCAGGGCCATTCGGAAGGTGCGGCTGTGGCTGGAGCTGACATCTGCTACGGAGGCGAAGCCAGCAGCCAGGAGGCCACTGAAATCGCCCAGGAGGGCACAAAGGATGCGGCCCAGCACGAAGTAGCCGACGTGGAGCTGCAGCTGTACCACAAAAATGGACACCACGGCTTGGAGCAGCAGGCTGAGCGAGGCCAGCACCAGCAGCGGGCGGCGGCCCACGTGGTCACTCCAGGCCCCCAGGAGGGTGGACGAGAAGAGCCCCACCAAGAGGCCACCCAAGTTCATGTAGAGGGTCCAGTGGGAGGTGAGGGTCTCCACTTCCTGTGGAGATTGCACAAGCCTTAGTAGGATCCCGGGGTTCCCCAGCCCCCCCAAACATCACCACCCTGGGCGCTACGGGGATGAGGATTCGTTTTGGATGGAAGGAACCGGAAAACTTTCTTTGGCGCCTCCACGGGAAACGGGCCACGGTCCCACACTCCCTCCGCTTTAACCGATTCCATGGAAGTTCCCAGTCGGGGGCCCCGACTTTGCTGTCAGGGTCCCGCCCATTGTTAACTTATCCTCGCCCCGGGACTCCCCGACCTCCTAACAGGCCCCGCCTGCCCACCCCCCCAGCCGCCCTTCCGCCCCGGCCGCCCCGCCGCCATTACCTGCATGATGGGGTTCTGGCTGTGGTTGCTGCAGCCAGCTCGGGTGCGGGTGCCATTGTAGCCGAGGTCAGCACTAAATCGGTGCCAGAGGTACTGCGTGGTGACCGGGCCTTGCAGGACCAGGGCAAAGTTGGCAAGGAAGATGAGCGGCTCCACGGGGCCGCGGCACAGCACCGCCGCGGCGGGGCGGGCGCGGGGCTCGGCCGGGGGGCTCGCGCGGCCCTCCATGCGCGCGCTCCAGGGCCGGCGCGTGGGACCAGCAGCACCTGGCTCAGCCAGCGCGATCTGCGCCTGCGCGCGGGGCCCCTTCTTCAAGGCGGGGCGGGACGGGGCGGGGCGTGGGGCTGGCTGTCCCTCTGGCTTTTGTCCCGCCCGCTTTGGGCGGGATGTGGGGGAGGGAGGGCGTCCGCCTCCTTCGCCCTCAAAGGCGACCTCACCTGCAAAGTGTGTAAAGATGAGCCCGCCAGTTCTGCCTGTCCAGCCTGGAAAGGCTCATAGGGATTACAAGAATATCCCAAACTGGATGTCCGAACGCCAGGTGCAAGATCCAAAGTCACTGCCATCCGGTTGATGCTGACTCATAGTGACCCTACCGGGCAGGACAGAGCTGACTCCTGTGAGTTTCCGAGACTGCAACCCTTTGCTGGAGTCGAAAGCCCCGGCTTTCTCCCTCGAAGTGTTAGGGGTTTCAAACTGCTGACCTTGCAGTTAGCAGCCCAACAGAGTAACCACTCCGCCCCCAGGGCTCCGATGCAGGATCTGGATCAGCTAAAGAAGCGACAGTTTGTATAGGAAGTAGGCGACACCCTGAAACCGTCCTTTCAAAGGCATCCGGGGCTTGCACTCCACCCCGATCTTCTTACAGAGGCTTGACTGCTTCCAGAAAACCCCATCTTGGCGTTGATTACAAAGTGTTAGGTCACATCCTGAGGGATTGCTAGGCCTCCCCTGCCAACCCCCTGAGCATCCTGGCCCAGCCAGGTTGATGCAAAACCCAACCATCCTAATGCATCCATACCGAAGACTGACGGCTTTCATCTCCACCCGGAAGTGCTTCAGTTCCTTTTGGCAAGGTTGCATATTACATGACAATGGTTAAAGGATTCTTCCTCCTATCCTGATGCCACACGCTCTTGAATATGGTCCAGTGTCTTGGAGTCTTTGCTCAGCATACGGATTGAATAAGCATGGTGAAAGGCTACACCCTGACGCACACCTTTCTTGACGATAAACCAAGCACTATCCCACTGTTATGTTGGAAGGATTGCCTCTCGGTCTGTGCCCGGGGTTCTGAATGAACACGATCAAGTATTTTGGAATTCCCATTCTTTGCAAGGTTATATATAATTTGTCCCGATCCACACGGTTGACTGGCTCCGTGTGGTGTACGAGACACAGGGGAACACCTTTCTTGACCTCTCTGTTCTCAAGCCCATATGACATCAGCAGTGATAGTCCTTGTGCCTTGTCCTCTTCTGAATCTGGCTTGAATTTCCGGCAGTTCTTAGTCAATGTAGTGCCGCGACCGGTTTTTTGTTTGTTTGGACTGTTAAAAAAATTATCTTCAGCAAAGTTTTGCTTAGGCGTGGTCTTAATTATGTTGTTCAACAATTTCTCCATTCTTTGGATCACTTTCCTCTGGAATGGGCTCAAATACGGCTCTCTTCCAGACAGTTGACCATGAAGGTGTCTTCCAAATTTCTTGGCATGAACCACCTCGAATTCTTGGGGCCTTCTTACCAGCTCAGACTTCTTCCTCCAGTACCACTGGTTCTTCATCATATGCTAACCTCTTGAACTGGCTCGGCACAGATCAATTCTTTTTGCTGCACTGACTTCATGGATGGATCCCTTGCATCTGCTTTGTCCACTCGTTCACCCATATGCTCCAGGGTCCCGACTTGTGGCTTGGAGCTTTTATTCAGCTCTTTCAGCTTGAGATACACCGAACATGTTCTTCCCTTCTTTTTTTTTAGTGCCGGTTCTATGCCTATTGTGTTAGCTTGGGTAAACTAGAGAAACAGATCCACAGAAAGTCAGATACGTATAGGAGAGAGTTTTATATAGAGGGTAAGTGCACATCCAGAAAGCACCCCAACCTAGTCCAGTCCAAGCCCATAAGTCCGACTTAGCCCTTATGTCTGACACCGATCTACAGAGTCCTCCTCAAACTCACAAAACACACACAATGACACTGAATGCAGAAGGATCACAGGCCAGTGGGTAAAAAGTCTTTGAATCCGGTGGCGGTGTAAGCATCTCAGAGCTGGCAGGGGTCTCCACGTGGCTTCTTCAGCACTCGGGGCTGCATCTGGGTGAGTCCATGAGGCTTCTCCTCAAGAATGTCTTGCAGGAAGTGAGCCTTGCAAGCTGAAGTAGGGAATTGGCTAACGCAGCTTCACCCTCGTCCGACCATCAGAGAGCAAGAGACCTGAGAACTAGAAAGGCGAGACTCACTGAGCCATTTATCTCTCCGCCCTTCAGTTAATCCCACATGTGTTTATTGGCCAGGTTGGCACAAGAAACCTTAACTATCTCACCTATTTTCTCATAATACTTTGGTCTTCCCAAGCCGCCCCTTGAAATCTGTTCAACTCTTCTTCTTCATTTCTTCCATTCGCTGATTGGTCACTGAGAGGTCAACATTGAGACACTGAATGGAGATAGGATTGAAAGACAAAGAATGTGAGGTTAAGAGCGGCTTTATTAGGGTAGGAAGGAGCTCCCAGGAGGGAAGGGTGAGCACAGACCCAACAAGTGAGGTCAGGGAAATCACAGCTTGTCGGTGAGGCGGTGGGAGATATATAGGGCTCGAGCTAGGGAGGTAGACGTTGACAACAAGAAGGGAGATTTTTTGCTTGCAGCTGCAGGACCTTGAGTCAGGATGCGATCCGTGGGAAGTGCCTTTGTTGTTTGCCAATCTACTCCCTGGAGCTCTGGGACAGGGGCTGCACAACCTTGGTCTGGAGAGAGAAGCTCCTTGGAAGGCTGAGGCAGAAGATGTAGACTTCAAAAGGGCATTTATCCTCCCGAGAGGCTGGAAATGGGGCCTTGAAGTTCTATCCTCCTGAGGAGCTGGAGAGGAGATGGGGGCTGCCTAGTCCGACCTGGCCCAAACAGTCACTCACCATTCAAGAGCAAGTTTCAGAGTCTTCTGACATTTGTTGTGGCCTTTTCTTTCTTTTTAAACAACCTTTTACTTTCTTCATCTATGATGATCTTGATGCCATCCCACAACTCGCCTGGTTTGTGGTCCTTAGTGTGCCGTGCATCAAATCTATTCTTGGGATGATCTCTAATCCAGGTGAGGTAGACTCAAGGTGGTACTTTGGCTCTCATGGACTTGTTCTTCAACATGAATTCAAATAAGTAATTGATGGTCTGTTCTGAAACTGGCCTTGGCTTTATTCTGACTCTACCCACAGATGCATGGATTTGATTCCTGTGTATCCCATCCGCTGAGGTCCATAAATAACGTCAGTTACTTATGCTGTTGAAAAAAAAAGGTATTTCCAATGATTAGATCGTTGGCCTTGCAAAATTGTATCCTGTGATCGTTGGCGTTGTTTCTGTTACCAAGACCACACTCATGGTTGTGAATGAGTAAGTGATGGGTTGGAGAGGCTTTGTTATGTGTCCAAAGGCACCGTTGCTGGGTTTTTCTTCCTTGGAGAAAAGCTAGCAAGTTCCTCCGGCATGGTTTTCCACCACAACAGAAGGAGACACAACTCACAAGATAGCAAGACAAGACAGTAAGTGGAGCAAAGACTTAATAAGCAAAGTACACTTCAGCCACAAAGCAGGTCACCTCATGATTTGAGGAAGACCCCTCATCTAGGGGTACAACATTGGATTTTATAGGGATCGGGTGGCAGGACCCCATTGGCTCACCTCAGTCCCTATCCTGCTTTCCTACTGGCCCTTGTTCTTGCATCCTGATTGGTCCTTATTCCAGCGCAATGATCCATGGCTTATGCATCACATTATCATAGGAGGTGGTGTTGGGATGAGTCCTCCAGAACTCTCGGGGAACAGATCATATGAAGCAGTTTGGGATGGCTCATCCAGACCTCTCAGTGATCTTGACATGACCGGTGGAATGGATCATGAGAGGGAGTTTGGGATAGGTCACCCAGGCCACTAGCTGACCCGACAGGAGTTATCTCTTCTCATTTTATAGATAATAAAATGGAGGCTGGGGGAGGAAGGGGGGAAAATGAGGAGCCAATATTAAGGACTCCAGTAGAAGGCAAATGTTTTGAGAATGATGATGGCAACAAATGTACATATGTGCTTAACACAATGGATGTACGTATGGATCTTGTTAAGAATTGTAAGAGCCCCAATAAAATGATTTTAAAAATAAATAAAAAAAATAAAATGGAGGCTCAGACCAGGTCTGAGCAAATGCTTGCAGTGGGGAGCACCCAGGTGCATAGGACCACAATCAAGGGGTCTCCTAAGCCCCCCGCCACCACCTCCTCCCTCTCTGATTTTTTAAGGGGACTGCTGAGCTGGACCTCAGCCCCAGAAACAATGAATTACTCAGGAGAGGAACTGACTGGCAGCCCATTAATAGCAATAATAATACATATAATTGGTCTGACACGGTTCTGTACAATAACCCGTTGAGGTAGGTTCTATGAACACTCCCATTTTACAGATGGGGAAATTGAGCACAGGGACATAAGTGACATGTCCAAGACAGTGGCAGAACCTGGGTTTACAACTCCCAGGTATTTGAGCTCAAAGATCATCAGCTTAGGCATCAGGAGGCAAGTGTTTCCTCTGGGCCATGCATACCCGGTCACCTAATTTCCTCCGTAGATCAGGGTACTTAATAGTGGCTACCTGAAGAATTATCTGGAGATAGTTATTAATTATCTGGAGATTAATAATACATGCTAAGAGTAAACTTTGCACCTAGCTCATGGGAAGCACTCAGTAAATGTTCATTATTGATTGCAGATTAAAAAAACCTTTGATTTCTTCATCTTTGGTATTAGTGGTTGGCGTGTAAATTTGTTCATAATTGTATTAGCTGGTGTTCCCTGTAGGTGTATGGATATTGTCCTACCACCGACAGTGTCATGCTTCAGGATAAATCTTTTGGACAACAAATGATCAAGGTGTTAGGAACCAAGGCCGAGGGAGGCTAGGCCAAGACTCCTCAACAGGGAGTGGGGCAGGTGTGCTTGAACCCAGAGTTGAGCCTTTAAATATAACCA